GATCTACCCAGGCCTTTACACACCTGGACAGAGGTTCCAGGCTCACAGAATTTTGGAGCCCCATTGCCTTGGCTCTTCCACCCATTCCCTTCTAAAAATACCCTTCAGGTGGCCCCTGGGAAGTACCCACCTGTGAGGGTGAAGATGCTTGTCCCACCATCCTTTCAGAGCCTGCACTGATCAGAGAGAGCCAGAAAGTGGAAGTGACCTCCCCCCCAACCCCCTAGTATAGTGACAATAAAGAGCTGGCCCTGGAGTCAGGAAGCCCTGAGTTTAAGTCCAGCCTCAGCTACTTCCTAGCTGTGTGACCCTGGGCAAGTCACTTGACCTCTGTTTGCCTCAGTTTCCTTAATTATAAAATGGGGCTATCACCCAGAGTTGTTGTTAATGAGATATTTGTAAAAAGCACTTAGCATAGCACCTGACACAAAGTAGGTATACCATCATTCTTCTTCCAGTGACATATCAATCCCTCCAAAATCTCTAGGCCATCCCATCAGAAAGAACCATAGAGAATCCTAGAATTTCAGAGTGAGGAGGAACCCCAGAGCTCATAGGCTCTACCCTCATTTCTGAAAATGGAATGGTTTGCCATATTCATTCAAATCGTTCTTTTGCCCTATTACTCATTCTATCACCATTCTATCCATTATTCACTTATTGTATAATCCATTCAACAGACATTTACTGTGCTCCTACTATGTGCAAGGCGTAGTGCTAGCTGGGTGGTGGCACCCTAGCAAGGCAGAGTTGGGGTTTTTTTTTTGGTAAAGCAGTATGATTTCATCAGTATGATAAATAAGGAGTTCTTGGTGAGAAGCTTACGCTTCCTCTACAAATGCAGGTCGGTCTCGTCTGTACAGCTGAGAGGTTAGGTTATTTGCCCAGGGTCACACAGCCTATATATGTCAGAGGAAGGACTTAAGCCTAGTCTCCTGATTCTTAACAGGGTTAGCGCTCTACTCAACCTATCTATCATCCAATTGTTCCTGGGTGTCCCTCAGTTTCCTGGAGAATTGATGTTCTTGGGTCTTGAGTCAGGGACCCAGAGTATTTTGAGTTGGGAGGAGGGAATGAGGTGAGCATGTTCTTCCTGTCTTTTTCACTGTCCCATCTCTGCCCCCTTCCCCTCCCCCCCAAAAAGAAAAGAGTTTGATCCTATCCCTAGGATTGAGACCACGGAGGGAGGTGTGTGTTGCCAGACCTCAGGTCCTGTCACCTCTCCTGATATCTCCTTTCTCACCTCCCTCTAGTCCCAAGTACTTCAAGAAGGTGCCTGGTGAGGGGATGCCGTTGGCCTCAGACCCCACCAAGAAGGGGGATCTCTTCATCCTCTTTGACATCCAGTTCCCCACTCATCTCACACCAACCAAGAAGCAGCTGTTGAAGCAGGCACTACTGACATGACATTCATGCCCTAACCCCTTCCCTGAAGGCTAGACTGACTATATACAGGGAGAAAAGGGGCCTGGGGATCTCCATGTTAGAATATGGGGGATGGACTGACACCTTTACAGTAAGGTGGAAATGAAGTGTGGGCATTCTGAGGCCCTGAGCAGGCACCTCTACAGGGTTATGAAGAAAGGTGGTGGTGGCTCCAGGTAGGAGGGAGGAGGTTATGTTTTCAAGTAATAAAGATTTCTACTCAGAAATAAAGCGTTCTTCTTTGTTACAGAGCCAATTGTATCCAGGCATGGCCACAGAACCACAACCACAGATCCATTAGAATCTAGGATATCAGCATGAGAGCCTTTTTGCTGATTATTTTTGAGTGAGAAGGGAAGAGCAATTAATTACATGGTAACAATTATACAGGATTTTATACTTTTCAAAGTTCTTTTCCATCTGCTTTTGAATTTGACTGTCACAGCAGCCCTGGGAGGGATTGTTTGTGTTGTTTAGTCATGCCTGACTGTTCCTCTATTTGAGGTTTTCTTGGCACTGGAGTGGTCTGCCATTCCAGTTCATTTTATTTATTTTTCTTTTTAAATATAAATTTATTGACTTTTAGTTTTCAACATTCACTTCCACAACTTTTTGAGTTCTGAATTTTCACCCCATCTCCCCCCCTCCCCCCACCCCAAGATGGCATGCATTGGTTTTTTTTTCTTTTTTGTTTGTTGTTTTTTTGGTTAGGCAACGAGGTTGAGTGACTTGCCCAGGGTCACACAGCTAGTAAGTGTTATGTGTCTGAAGCCACATTTGAACTCAGGTCCCTGACTTCAGGGCTGGTGCTCTATCCACTGTGCCACCTAGCTGCCCCTGATGGCATGCATTCTGAATATCCCTTCCCCTACTCTGTCCTCTCTTCTATCTCTCTCCCCTTCTCTTATCCCCTTCCCCTTCTATTTTCCTGTAAGGACAGGATAGACTTCTGTACCCCATTTCCTATATTTCTTATTTCCCAGTAGCATGTGAAAACATTTTTTTAAACACATATTTTTAAATCTTTAGGTTTCAAATTTTCTCTCTTCCTCCCTCCCCACCCACCCTCATTGGAAAGGCAAGCAACTCAATATAAGTTGTACATGTGCAGTTATGCAAAACACGTCCATAGTAGACATGTTGTGAAAAACTAACTCTATTTCCCTTAATCCTATCCTGCCCTCCCATTTATTCTATTCTTTCTTTTGACCCTGTCCTTCCTAAGAAGTATTTACTTCTGATTAACCCCTTTCCCAATCTGCCCTCCTCTCTATCATCCCCCTGCTCTCTTGTCCCCTTCCTCCCCTATTTTCCTGTAGGGTAAGACAGATTCCCATACCCAACTGAATGTGTATGTTATTCCTTCCTTAAGCCAAATCCTATGAGAATAAGATTCCCTCATTCCCCTCTCACCTTCCCCCATTTCCCCTTCCACTGTAAGAGACTTTTCTGTTTTTGTGAGATAATGTACCCCATTCTACCTCTCCCTTTCTTCTTCTCTGAGTATAATCCTCTCATCCCTTAATTTTATTCTCCAGATATGACCCCTTAATCTTCAGCTCACCCTGTGCCCTCTATCTACCAATTCATTTTAGAGATGAAGAAACTGAGGCAAACAAGATTAAGTGACTTGCCCAGGGTCATACAGGTACTAAGTGTCTTATGGCTGGATTTGAACCTAGTCTTCCTAGCTACTTTAAAGTTTACAAAGCCCTTTCCTCACAAGCCCCTGTGTATAACAGCAGCCTTCTCTAGGGCAGGGTAGGGGGAAGACAAGTTGGGAACTTCAAGTAACCAAAAAAAAAAAAAAGCAGAAGAGGGAGGGTTGGGGAGTAGGTGGGGGATGGAAAAGCCCTGGAGTGGAAGGAGCTGGTCTCAGCTTCAACGCTTGGTAGCTGTGTAACTGAGTCACGTGCCTCCACACACAGGAGGTAGAAACAGTTAAGACACAGGTTCTATCTCAGTTCTGCCACACCTCTTGGCAATCATCTGAGCCCTTGGAGCCTGTTCTCTCCCGTTAAATGGGGGATACTTGTACTGCCTCACAGGGCTCTTGTAAGGAAATCTATTTAAGTTTCACTTAGTGCTGACTTCCTCATTTTCTGGTGGGGCTTGAACAATGCCTCGGTGTTTATCAGGCAAAGGTGTGGGAATATGCTAGAGGCACAGAATGGCGTGTGCAGAAAGGACTACATGGGGTTAGTGTGAAGACAGTGCCCTGTGTGGGGAGGCAGAAGAGGCTTTGACCCAAGAGAGGACAGGAGGAAACCAGGGTCAGTGGTCCCCACGCAGATTCACTTTCATGGTCTAGGGAAGGACAAGGAAAACCCACACTGTCTTCCAGATGGTTGTCCTCTTTCAGGTCAATCTGGGCTTCTGAAGTGTTCTTGCCAGTCTTTATTAGCATTGGCATTTTTTTCTCCTGGAAGCCCCCTTCACAGCACAGCACACGCTCCACCAGAATCCTGCTGAAGCTGAGGCTTAAGATGGAGACAGGTCACCTCCTGGGCTATTCTTTGAGCCTGCTTGGTGTGCCAAGAGGACTAGCCTTGGGCCAAGGACCAACTCTGGTTAGCCCTTACCCTGGGAAGGTCCCTTCACCTCTGATCATCTATAGAATTTAGTGCCTTAGTGGTCACCTACTTCTATGCTTTCAATTCTCCGAGAAAATTAAGGCCCAGAGATTATAAGGTGACCCTGTAAGCACCCCACAAACATCGAGTACCCAAAGCATGATTTGAACCCACCTCTTTTCCTTCAAAGTCTAGTCCTTTTCCCACCATATTTATCCACTTATTTGTAAAATGGAGATAAATTCATAAGTCCTACAGGTTATCCATTCAAATGTTCACTAAGCACCTACTGTGTATACTAGGCTATGTTTACTGCTATGAGAATCAAGCCCATTATGTTAAGGTGCCTGAGAAGCCGAGATGGCTGTACAAACACAAGGGGATGTGAAGGGGGCCTGGCCACAGCTAAGACTCCAAAAGAGGAAGCAGGGGCAACAGCTCGTTAGTTGGGTCTCCAGGTGGCTAGCCTAACACCCCAAGTAGGCTTGGGATCTCACCAAGACAGCAGGAGGGAGGGTGGGCACAGACAACCAGAGGAGCTGCCCTGGCACGAAGTAGAAAAGGGCAAGTCTCATTCATGGTGGCCCAAGTCTAGTCTGAGCCCTGCAGCAGTCAACTCTCCCAAGTTAAAAAAAAAAAATTCTACCCTTAGCCTAATGATTTGTGTACTTCTCCCTGAGGACAAGGTTCAATTTTTTACCTTTAGAGCTTCCCCCCTTAAGTTAGCACATAGTAGGTGCTTAATAAATGCATGTTAATCCCAAATTAGCATATACCAACCTGTTTTGGCCCATATACAACACAGCATGGTTAGCTAAACCTGCCCCCCCCCTTGAGGCATCAGGATTAAGTGACTTGCACAGAGTCACACAGCTAGTGGTCAAGTGTCTGAGGCTGGATTTGAACTCGGGTCCCCCTAACTCCAAGGCCAGAGCTCTATCCACTGAATCACCTAACTGCCCCTAAAACCTGCCTTCTTTTGAAGTCCAGACAGCTTGCACATTCTGGGTTCTGGTTTGACTTTATTAGACATAAAGAGCTTAAGAATGGAGTGAGTATGCAATGGCAGGAAAGTGGGCTGGAGAAGGTTTAAATGGGGCTAACTCTTAAGTAGGAGTGTAGGGGGATCCTTCAATGCTAAGGCAGGGGACGAGAGGAATAGGGGGGAAATGGGAGGGAAGAGAGGCAGGACAGGGTCAAACTCGAAGGGGACAGGCATCAGGCAGAAAGCTAGGAGAGGGCTCAGAAAGGAGCTTCCCGGGAACTTCGAGCGGCCATCAGGGCCCGTTTCAACTGCTCGTAGGTGACAAACATCACTACATTCCAGGAGCCCAAGCGGAGGAAGGAAGGCACGAACCTGGGGAGAAAACACACACAACACAGCCCAATGAGATTCCTGGGTTATGAAGGCTATCTAAGTCTTCATCACTTTTCTGAGGTGGGGTAGAGTATCCACTACTAGTTTAGGAGAAAGTCACTAACCCTTTGTAGAAGGCTTGGGGTCCCTCCTTCCAAAGCATAGTGAAAGCGCAGTGGCCAGCACTAGCATACTGGCCTGCGGCAGAGTTCATGTATCTCGTCTTGACCACGTCCACAGGGGAAGCAATGATGGTGGTGCAGAAGCCAGCCCCAAAGGCTGACGTGAAGTGGCACGGAAGGTCATCTGTGGAAGGAGAAAAGAGGAGACTGCTGTTAAAAGCAGCGTGATCCCAGCACCACAACAAGCTCCAAAGCAAAACAGCTGGGGACAAAGTCTCTCACACCTCCCTCACAGTCTAATGGATGGACAGCAGCCTGGGAAGCAAGAACTTGATAGTTTAGCTCAGACTATGCTACGTGACCTTGGGGAGGCAATTTCTTCCCCATTTGAGTCTCAGTTTACCCATATCACGCGCGGCTATTTCTTGCCTACCTCCACAGGTCAAACAACAGATGGGAACTTACTCTGAAGATAAATGTCTGGTCTTAGCTGGGAGTTATTCCTAAATTTTATCCTCTATAAAATGAGATTGACACCTGTACTGCCTAAGCCACAAGGTCTGTCACTTTTCAGGGTGCTTCTGTTCAAAGTGCCATGTAATGTTTAAAAAGATAAAAATACCTACCAGAATTCCCCCCCAACTTCATGGGGCTGTGAAGGTAGAACTCTGCTTAGTTAAACCTGGTACCCCTCCCCCCCAAGGCCCTGAACTCATTGGGCACTTACAGCCATCTGTATCTAGGTATATCTACAAGGTATAGGTAGATATCCAGTTATTCACACTGGCAGGGCCAGACATTATCTCCATTTTACTAGGGGGCTCACAAGGGAGGTGCCTCATAAGGTTGGTTAGCTCCAGAACCAAGGCTAGAGACCCAATCTCCTTAAAAGCCCAGAAAGATGATGCTATGAAATCAGGCCCCCATCTTAGAGCTCCAAAGAGGATATTCCTCTCCCTGCTACCACCAAATATTCTTGTCACTTACCAGTCATGAGGTGGGCCTTCAGGATGGCATCTTTGATGATATCATAGGTCACCAGCTCAGCACAGTTGACAATAGCATTGCGGGCAACATTGGGTGAAGTTCCTGGACAAGAGAAGGAATTGCATTGACCCAGGGAAGGGGGCAAAGGAAGTGGGAGGGTAGGTAGGAAGGGGAAGAGTATTGGCTGCTATACCTACCTTTCCATAGGCCTCGAAGCCCCTCCTCTCGGGCAATAGTCTTATAAGCATCCATTGTGCCCTGGTATCTTCGGCTGCTACCTGCACGAGCCTGGGCCTGGAAACGCACCTTAACCACATCTGTGGGTTGGGCTATGCCCACTGCCAGTGCCCCTGTGGTGCAGCCTGCCAGGAGGCGGCTCCCAATGCCTGCATCTATTGGGAAAACCAAAGGAAGGTAAAAGTTGAGATTGCCTGAGGTCATACAGATTCAGAGATTATAGCCCCTCTCCTCTCCCCCAACTAGGGTTCCAGAAACCCTAGACTCCCAAATATCCTGGCTAGGAACATTTACTGGATAACTACAGGAAACTCATTTAACCTTTGTGTTTCAGTTCCCTACTCAAGGGTGCCTCACAGGTGTGCTGAAAGAGCTTAGAAGGCTTGGAGTGCTTTAGAAATGAGAACTGTTACTTAGGCTTAAAAAAAAAAAGTAGGGTTATTCTGAGGCAAGGATTGAACCAAGAATAATAGTTCCTTCTGGTCCTTGCATGCCTAACTCAGCCTTCAAAGCCTACCTCGACCATCCTCTACACCAGGCTTCAGCTCCTGCTGTTCTGTACCCAAATTTAGGGATACTCACGCTCTGAACCCTTGGTGTAGAACTGCTTGACGGAGTCATAGAGGCCAATTCGAACAGAGGCAAAACTCATCTGGCGCTGCAACCCAGCCACCAGCCCATTGTAGAGGCTGCCAGGGCCCTCAGTCTTCACCATAGTCAGAATGGTGCCCATGACACCCCGATACTGGGCAGCGGCAGAGGAAGCTCTGATGGCTCTCTGGCTCTCTCCCTGAATCTGTATGAGAGGGAGGAAGAGAGCTGTAGGAAGCTGGAGGTCAAATGGAGATGGAAAGGACCTAGTGGGCTTAGTTCAAAAGCATCAACTTATATAGACAGGGTAGCTAGAAAGCCTATGGGGGAAGTAACCTGCCAAGTGCTATAAGATCTATTATTATGACACACACCTTCTGCAACTAACCTTTTTTGGTAATAGGGAAGGGTAAGACTAATCAGACATCTAGTCTCAATACTCCCAATGCCTGATTCTCCTCCATTCCCCCACCAAAACCAGGCTGGAAGGCAGGACAAAGAAACTACTGACCCCATTTTATACATGGGCACACAAATAAAAAAGATGAGTGGCAGCACTCCAATTATAAAAAAATCTGCTGCCTGAAATAGATTCTCAGTCTTGACTGAGGCAAGGTAGGTAGGAGAATAAAGCTAAGGAAAGCATAGAGAGACTGTCCCAAAGAGGCTGCTACTCATCCTGTTCTCCCCCAGGACAAAAAATGTCAGAAGGTCTCTCTTGAAGGTTAACAGTCTACTAGAAAGCATGTGGGACAGGAAAAATGCAAGGTTTAGCTCCAGACCTATGACTAACTCCCTTATAGGGCCCTGAGCAAGTCATTGGTTGTCTTGAGCTCCAGTTTCTCCATCTCTAAGGACCTACTCTAGCCCACATGCATGTGGGGATTAAAAAATTCCCTCACATGTGGGAAAATTGGAACGCTAATACATTGTTGGTGGAGTTGTGAAATGATCCAACCATTTTGGAGAACAATTTGGAACTATGCCCAAAGGGCTACAAAAATGTGCATACCCTTTGATCCAGCAATAGCACTCCTAGGGCTATATCCCAAAGAGATCAAACAAATGGGAAAAGGACCCACATGTACAAAAATATTCATAGCAGCTCTTTTTGGGGTGGCAAAGAATTGGAAATTGAGAGGAATGCCCATCCACTGGGGAATGGCTGAGCAAGTTGTGGTATATGAATGTAATGGAATACTGTTGTGCTGTAAGAAATAATGAACAGGCTGACTTCAGAAAAACCTGGAAAGACTTAATATGGTCTGATGCTGAGTGAAGTGAGCAGAACCAAGAGGACTCTGTAAACAATAACAGCCACGTTATGCAATGACTAATATTATTAAACTGAACCCTTCTCAGCATTACAAGGATCTAAGACATCTCCAGAGGCCTCGGGATGGAAAATGCTGTCCACATCCAAAGAAAGAACTATGGAAGTCGAATCACTATCACTTATTTTTACCTTCTGTTGAGTTTTGTTTCATCTTTCTGATGGTTCCTCGTATTGGTTTTAATTTTTACTTACAACTTTACTAATGTGAAAATATGTTTCATGGGTATGTAAATGTAAAGCCTATGTCAGATTGTGTGCCATCTTGGGGAGGGTGGGAGGGAGGAAAAGGGAGAAAAATTTTCAACTCAAAAGCATATGGAAAAAAAAAAATAAAAAAAATTCTCTCACATAAACCTAACAAGCTAATGAGGTAGGGAGTGTTATTTCTACCTTACAGGTCAGGAAATTTAGGCTCAGAAAGCCGCCTCAGTTTACTACTAGCCATTTGATCTTGGGCAGATAATAACAGAGAAGACAGGAGATGAACCCCAGTCACTGACTTTGCCCTTAAATGAGTATCAAAATCACACTCATCAGGAGACAGCAAATTTCAGACACACTGAAGCTATTGGGGGGGGGGGGAAGAGAGCGCGGTGGCAAAATACAAAGCAGTTTATAGAACATTAAGGAAAACTACAGATAAGACCTCCCTGGAGCATCACAGCCTCAGTGTTCTAAGAAATGGGGGGGGGGGGGGAAATACAAGATCCAGTCCTAGAGTTCAAGCAAGGCAGCTGTACAGAGATCTGCATTCTCAAGGGCTTCTGACCTGCAGCCGGACTTTGGCTGTGTCCAGGGGGAAGGTGATGAGGTCAGCGATACAGGCAGCGGTGCCAGCCCCAAGGAACTTTACGGTGGCTGTTGGGGGCACGTCTGTAGGCTTAAATCCAACCATGATGATGCTGGCTTTCTGCTACTTCCCAGGAGGCAAAGGAGAAATGGAAAGATAGCCTCCACTGATTGAGCAAGACAAGATAGAGGAACTCTGCCGGAGTCTGGGTAAGGAGTCAAAAAAAAAAAAAGGCATCACTATCATCAACTTTATGCAAGGTCCTGAGGTTATCCTTGCTCACTTTACTTGTCCCTCAATCCACTAATGTCCCATCTTCACAGATCTCACAAGTCCCTTTCGATGGGAGCTACTCCTTTGCTAAGGGAAGAGTTCCAAGACAACAATTAATATGGGCCAGGCCGTATTTGCTAATATAGCCTAGAATATACTGCTGCTCCCTACATTGCTCTAGGCTATATTAATTAACAATCAAATAGTCACTTTCAAGATACACTACTGGACAATTAGTGAATTCTAGTTCTTGCTAGAGGGGTTGGGAAGAGGTGGCTGAGGATCATGGTAGCTTCCTCAAGTCCAAGATATCCAGTATCCACGAAAATGTTTAGTGGTGCTAAACAGATTCGATTATCTATGTTCACTCTTTACAGTCAGAACTGATAGGTCACACCAAGCTCCCTACTATTCACTCACACATAGTTCTACCTGGAGAAACAAGGGCCCCAAAATGAACTTAACCTCTGGCACTAGCATGGAACATCGAAGCCAAGCAATAAATTGGAAATTTCCTTCTTCCTACACACCCACGCTTACTACCTTTTCAATACCAACTCAAATACTCCTGGGAATCCCTCCATCTCATTTGGTAATGCCTTTTGCTGTTCTCTAAAGTGGTTCTCTAATGTCAATCTATTGTGCATCATTCCATATTGGTGTTTTGACCTACTGGACTATGTTCTATGAGGGCAAAGAGTGTATTTTTATACTTTTTACATCTCAGCATCTAGCAAAAGTGCTTAGTAAGGCCCATTCTACTGTATTCAAACCCTCTAGAACTTGGCTTCCAAAACTGGTAAATAGATTTCCCTCTTGCCCATTCCTTCCAGGCCACAGACAACAGTACAGTACAGAAGTACTGGCCCCCTCTCCAACTCCCAGAGCCTGCCTTTTTCTGCCCTGGTAACAAAAGGTAGTCAGAGAACCACAGAAGAGAGGAGATTGGTGGCTACTGTTGCTGGGTGGGGAAGGAAGAAAAAGCTGGCCCTGTTACTAGGATGTGGTGAGGCTCAGTCATGTACAAACAGTCCCATCAAAACAACTTGCCCCAGCAGTCTCCTTTGCTCTGCTAGGGGGTGGGGGAGTTGAACTCCTGCCAGTTCCTTTCTAGTACTTCTCTCAGCATTAGCCTGGTATTAAATATTTTCCATATCTCCCCACCTCCAGAAAGTAGGGGGGAATAAACTTTTTTTTTAACCTCCCAACTCCCATTTTTGTACAAGGCCAAGGAAGCTGAGAGAAAAAGAGGTCAACTAACAAGTAAGCCGACTCCTGCATACGCTACAAAATCAATTTTGTCTCTTCTATCACCTGAAGCTACATAGTTCGGTCTTTCAGGGATAAGGGAAGGGGTTGTTCTCAACTGCTGACATGAACTAAGAATCAAAAAACTTTAGAGCTAGAAAGGCGTTTATAAAAGAAAATGCCATTAGCGCTAATTTAAAGATCATCTTGTTCAAGTACCTTTATCTGCTCTAATAAACAACACATTTGCCTAAGGTTCTTTGTCTGCTTTGCTGTCTGTTCTAGGCCCTCTTCTATTTCACCAGGTGATTCCATCAGCTGATGTGGTTTCAATTCTCATCTCTACGAACATGACTATCAAATCTTGTCCAGCCTCTCATCCTTTCTCCTGACCTCCATCCAGTCTTACACCTCCATCTATCTACTAGATATCTCAAACTAGATGGCCTGCAAATATCTTAAACTCAACTAAATTCGTTATTTTTCCCCCACAAAAAAAACCTCCCCCCCCCACTTCCTTTCCTAACTTTGCTATTACTGGTTATGGAACCACTATCTTTTTAGTATCCAAGTTCCCAACCTGGGAGTCTTCTTCCACTTACTGGCCCCCCCAACACCCCATCCAATCAGTTGGCAAGTTGTGTTCTTTACCTTCACACCTCTCTCATACTTTTCTCCTCTGATACTGCTACCACCCTCGTCCAGTTCCCTATCACTTCACAGCTACTGGAGATTGCAATAGTAGGCTGGTGGGTCTCCCTGCCTCAAGTTTCTCCTACTTCAATCCATCTACCACTCAGCTATCAAACTGATCTTCCTAAGACAGGTCTACATCAACACCCCCCATATTTAATATAAACTCCCTATTACCTCCAGAATCAAATAAAAAAATCCTATTTGGCTTTTCTTGTTCCTTTTTTTTTTTTTAGGCAATTGAGGCTAAGTGACTTGCCCATGGTCACACAGCTAGGTAAGTGTCAAGTATTTGGTCTGAGGCTGAATTTGAACTCAGGTCCTCCTGACTTCAGGGCTGGTGTCTATCCACTGAGCCACCTACCTGCCCCCATTTTTGGCTTTGTAACCTTCTTACCTTTTCAGTTCTCACCTTATTTCCCACTCCCCTCCACATACTCTGCCATCCAGTGACACTGACCTTTTTTCAGGTCAGATCATATCTCCCCTCCTACTCAAATTCCAGTGGCTTCCCACTGCCTCAAGAAGCAAATATAAAATCCTTTTCTTGGCAGTCTCAGAGAGAAAAATACAAAGATTAAAAGAACACTGGGAAAGGACTTCTTTTAGTCCTAGTACAGTTGTTTGCATTTTGTGAGACTGTGAGCTCCATGAGGGCAGAGGCAGGTTTTTTGTCTTGTTTCCCCTGAGCTTAAAAGCTAACTGACTGCAAGTTACCCAGCTGATCTGTGGAAGAGGAAGAACTAAAACCTATGTCACTAGACACCTTTCCACCTGATGATGTTGCCTCCTTCCTAACTCCTCAACTTCAATAAATTAAATTTAATAAAATAAATTATTTATTGAATTAATGAATACAGAGAATGCAAATAAGGCCTCAAAGAACTAAGTGACAGATTTCCCTAGTCACAAAGTCTCATATTCTACTCAGTCTTTTATTAATAAGTCTTCTTTATTAATAAGGTGAAGGGGAAAAGCAAGAAAGCCCACAGGTTAAATATAGCTAAGATTGGGATTTTTTATTTTCTATAACCAACTCTGGTATCTTCTGCTGGCCAAGAAAAAAAGATTACTATCTTCTGCAAATCACTTTTCTCCAGGTCTAGGTTTCCTCATTTGTAAAACAACTCTCTATTAGCTCTGCCATTTAAAAGACCCCACAAGTTAAACAGGGATGTTGATATGAGGCTGGGAAAAGCAGATCAAATTCTGGGAATTGAGTGGGGCTGTTAGGCTAGGGGCAAAGAAATGTAAAGCAATCATTAAGCAAACTAACCCTAGGACCACATTTCCAACAACTAAAACACAATTTTGATGTATTAATACATAAGACCCTGGGGGTCCCTGGATCAGCACAGCCAGTATTCTGTCATATTATACAGCCTCTCCTTTTAGCTCCTCTTCTAATGAGGGCTAGATGTAGAAAATAAATTTAAGATCTGACTTTCCCACTAGAAAGCTTCCTAAAGTTTTCCCCATCCCTTGACCTATCCAACCACACCTCCCAATTTCAGTTACAATCTTCTTGCCCCCCCCACTTGGAATCAGCCCATAGTTAGTTTTATCTTGCTACTCTCAAAGTCTAGCTAGTGATCTACACAGCTAAAATCCAACACACATTTTATTCAATATCTACTATATGCAAAGCATCTGTTAAATTAGGGAAGGGAAGCAGGTGACATACAAAGTTTCCCTGAACTCACAATCCAAAAGGAAGAGAAATAAGACAGACACATATACCTATTACATAAAACCTTTAAGGTGGCTCCAGACCAATCAATTCCCATCCTAGTCCACAATAATCCCTCCCTCCCATGAACTGCCTGTACAGTTCAACTGTGCCCTTGGGGGTACTTTGGCTTGCCTTCCCAGCTGTACCTAAGGCTCTACTTAGATAAGGGAACAAGCTGTAACAATGTTTCACAAGAAGCACTTTATTCTTCATACTCTTTCATTGCCCCTTCATGCTTTCTTTATGTGAGATGGGTGGGAGGTATTGACCTTACACTGGAAAGTGCAGTCAAGACTAACCCCTGTGCTGAAAACCCACTATCTGTGGGATTCTGGGAAAAAGTCACAACCTTTCAACTTCAATCTCCCCATCTACAAAACCTTTCTTAGGAAATTCCCAAGAAAACGTTCTACTTCTATTCCCACAAGGCCCAACAAATGATAGCAGCACTATAAATGTCTTAAATCCAAGTAGGTGAACCAGGAATCCCCTCCATCCTCTTCCTAGATTGTTTTCTGACTGGGGGCTTGGCAACAATTACAAATAAATTGGCTTTTTAGCAGGAACCAAACCCTTACACTGTCCTGGCAGGACAAAGAGTGTGAAATGAAAAACTGGGATAAAGTTGCTCATAAAGAGAGCAGGGCCCCTGCTTCAGAATAGACTAACTCAGGATATTACAAAGCCCTACCCTATTCTGTCCTTGAGCAATTTATTTTTTTAAACCTGTTAGAGGAAGGATTTTGCATTGATCCCAATGAATCCCCATATCATTTTCACACTCATCCAGCTTCACAAAGGTCTCTTCCACTGAAGACTGCCAATCATTTGAAGCACCAACGCTAGACCTACCCCGAGGGACCCTTACCCTGATTTGGAGGGTCTCACGATGATGGCACCTTGATCAAGCTTCTCTAAAGGTGTCCCGCTCTTCAAAGTTGCTCACGGCAACCATGGCCCACTTCCCTTGATTTTCCATAGAAAGTTGTTGGGAAACTGAACACCGAATGATCATACTATGTGGCCTGCAGAAGAAAAAACTAGCCATGAGTTTTTAGAAACTTTTTAGGAAGCCAGAAATTCTGCGTACATTTTACAAACCACCTTGTACCTTACTGACATGAATTAACGAAAATAAATTACAAGTAACTGTAGCCTAAGTCGAATCTATCAAACATTGGTTAGGTAGGTAAAAATTTTAAGGAACTTCCTGGCAGACTTTTTCTGGGGGGGAGGGGGGAGGGAGTGGAGAAGGCGAGTTGCTGAAAGAGGTAAACATTTTAACTTTGCTAGCACTCACAATCCTGGGCCTTATCCAGGAGCCAATTACGCACCACCCTGCATCCTGAAGGTCTTAGACAAGATAAACCCAACACCACCTGCATTTCATTCACCTCTTTCCCCTCCGCCCCTCTTCCCCATAGGGCTTCAGAGCAGCCTGGGACACCATTTTCCCTTCTTTTTTGCCCGGTGTCCTCATAGGGGCAGGGAGGGCAGCTCACAATGCCTTGCAGGTGGCAAAACCATGGCAGAGGAGCAAGAAATATCGTCAGCAGAAAAGAGGGACCCTTTGCTGGTAACATTCCGCACGGATCAAGGCCTTGCAGTTCGGGCAGCTGGAGGCGGGGATGGGTCACCAAACAGAAGACCACTGTGCCTTCTGGTCCTAACGACATTCAAAAGTTGACTAGAAACGGCTGATGTGGGCGCAAGCGAGGGGCCAAGGTCCCTCCCTCTCATCGCTACCGCAGACCACTCGCCAGGGACGGTTAGGACGAGGGGCGGCCGACAGATTGGCCGGTGACCTAGGGCACGCATCTGGAAAGCTTTAAAGCCGCCGCTTCGTCGGGGGAGCGCAGGGTGAACTTCTGGGAGACAGCCCAGGAAAGGCAGCCGTTGGACTTCGGGGAGCCAGCAAGGGGAAGGAGAGGGGATGGGGAAGCACAGGCTTGCTCCCCGGAAGCCGGGGGTGGGGGAGTTCTCCGATATCGGTCCTGACACCCCGCTGAGTCAGAAACACAACACAGGGAGATGGTCCTTTGGGTGGGGAGGAGGTGTAACTACAGCGGGGGGAGGGGGGGCAGAAGCTTCGATCTGGACTCACTCACTGTCCCCAGCAGACCCTGCTCTGCCCGGGGAGGGAGTGGGAAGGAAAGTACGGAGATCAGACCGGCTCTACGTTCGGTAACGGGGCTCTCACCGGGACCGTAGAGAAAAACACGAGGAGGCGGCGGGAGGCACTAGCCTGCAGCAGAGTTGGGCGTCTGGTGGGCTGGAGGGGCTGCCTAGCGGTCTCTCAGCTGCGTTGCTAATAACTCTCAGTCTCGGAGGAGGTTGAGCGCGCACTAAGGAAGCAATAAACCCGGCGGCGAATTTATATCGGCGCGTGGGGAGAGGGCGGGCCCTAGAATGCCATGGGGCGGGACCCAGCCTCGAGGTGGGGGTTAGGCGGCAGAGGGGGCAAGGGGCGGGGAGGGGCCTGGGTCGGGCAATACTACCCACTCCCGTATGACCGTGCGAGGAGTCCCGTAATCCCGCAAACCTTCCATCTCCATCGGGAAAGTCTCCTCGGTCCTAGCTCTAGAGGGCCCGCCAAAGACGCCCTCGTCTTTTTCTTTCTGTGGATTCCCCCGCCCTTCACCCTTTTCATTTCCGCAGGGCGGGGCACTCTAGCTCCTTTTTGGGAACTGAAGGGCTAAGCTTCCCACCCCGCCACAGTGTAACCCCCCCACCTAACGCGTGATTCCCCTAAATCTCTGGGCCCGGGAAGTCGGATTCCCGTGCTGCACGTGGAGCCGGCTCGCCTCAACCCACCTAGTGATTGGTTGGAATCTCGGCACCTGCTGGCGGGCGGGAGGGGATGAAGAGAGGGAGAAGCACCGATGAAAGAGCGGGGCGAGGATTTATTTCTCCTGGCGCGCGCGGGAAGTAACGGCAGGTGTTTTCCTAACGGCCCGGCCCAACGGACCGGCAAGCTTGGCTGTGGCCTCGCGTCCCAGCGGGCCTGAGGGAGGCCGGGCAGGCCTAGGCCGGCATTCGGGGACGAGAGCGGGCGTCCCATGGCCATTTCCTCTGTCCTCCCCTGCGGGACTGACGAGGCAGCCGTTCCGTTTACCAGGCTCTTAGGTTTTCCGGGATGGTTGGGCACTTGGGCCATAGCTACAGCCTCCCCACAGCGGGAGGACTCGAGGGACGGGCCTGTAGTGGGGCGAGGTGGAAAGAAGACTGTGCCTGGGTGACTGTGGGCACGCTCTTTAACCTCACTGGGACTCAGTTTCCCCCTCTGTAAGATGAGACAAGCAGGGGTATCTTCGATAGAGATCTCTAGATGACTTCTAAGGTCTTCCTTCTCTAAACCTAAAGGATTCTATGGACCCGGGAAACCAGGTCTGTTTAAGCCCTTCAGCTTTGTCTTAATGTCGATTTGTTTGTGGGCAGCTAGGTGACAGAGTGGTGGATCGAACCCTCAGGCCCGGAGTCAGGAAGACTGATAGTCCTGAGTTCAAATATGGCATCAGACATGTACTAGCTGTGTGACCCTGGGCAAGTCACTTAACCCTGTTTGCCTCAGTTTCCTCATCTGTAAAATGAGCTGGAGAAGGAAATGGCAGACCACTCAATATCTCTGCCAAGAAGTCAGACACAACTGAACAACAATACTTTTTTCCCCTTCATGCCTTTCTGTATTTCTCTGCCTGTTTTTTGTCTCCATTTGTCTCCTACTTCTCCCTATATCTGTGTCTGCCTATATGATCTCATCTTAAGTTTTCTTTACTCCATGAACTTCTCTCCATGTCTGTCTCTCTTCCTGTCCAATCCATTCGTCTTTATTTCTATTTCCATGTACTTTTCTCCATTTCTTATGTCTCTGCTATGTACAATTCTTTGCTTTCATTTCTCTCTGCACATAATGTATCTTTGTTTTCCCATTTCTTTCACTCATGTCTTTCCTCACTAAGATGGACGCCTAGCCAAAAGAAAAGAGAGGACTGTTGTTAAAAATTTTCCCAAAATTCTTAAGGTAAAGCAGAGGGAGGAATAATTGAAGAAGCAAGCTCTAGAAAGGAGAAGGAAGGGGACCAGGTGTAAGGGTTAGCCTTGGCAAAATGGTCTGTTCCTTAGAGACTGAAATAAAGAGGGGGGAAAAGCAGGTGAATGTATATTTTGTATTTTTTTTTTTTTGCTTTTAGGCAATTGGGGTTAAGTGACTTGCCCAGGGTCACACAGCTAATAAGTGTTATGTGTCTGAGGCCGGATTTGAACTCGGGTCCTCCTGAATCCAGAGCCAGTGCTCTATCCACTGTGCCACATAGCTGCTCCTAAAAATGTCTTTTTTTTTTAAAGGCAATTAGGGTTAAGTGACTTGCCCAGGGTCACACAGCTGAAGAGGTCTAGGGGTTTTGGGGTGCTGGGACCCCAAGATCGCGGTACTGGGCCCTGCTGAATGAATTCAACTCAAATCTTCAGCCAGAGGAAAAGTTTATTGGTGATAAATCACAGAGGCCAGGTGACGACCATAAGGACAGGCAGGCATGAGAAAGGCTCAGCCTTTGGGGCACGAGAGATTCTCAGCATCTGAATAAGGGCCGAGGTGGATCTTAAATACTAAAGTTAACATTGAGTGGCCAGAGAAGGGGGTTGGGGAAAGGGTCTAGGTAAGAATTCTAATTGGGGAGGTCAGAGAGATTGAATAGACAATGGAAATAGATAATGGAGGGAACAGGAAGGCAGAAGTTTGAAAGGCATCTGCACAAAATCAAGGTGGGGCTAGGACTTTCAAAAGGAGATAAAGGAAGGCCTTTCTGGGGCCTATAGACAAAAGGGAGCCTAAGGCTTTCAAAGGGAGATGAGGGGAGTCGATTAGGAAATTTGAAGGTTCAAGGGTTTTCCTGGGTCCTGTAGACAAACAGGAGCCAGATTCTATTCAGGGCAAGGGTTGAAGGTGCATCTGAATAAGATCTAAAGGTAAGCTAGGGCTTTCAAGGAAAGATAAGAGTTGGGGTCTGTAGACAACTTGGAGCCAGATTCTCTTTGGGGCAAAGGCAAAAATCTTGTCTTGGGCCCTGCCTCCATCACAGCTAGTATCAAGTGTTGGGTCTGAGGTCGGATTTGAACTCAGGTCCTCCTGACTTCAGGGCTGGTGCTCTATCCACTGTGACACCTAGCTGCCCCTAAAAAAGCAGGTGAATGTATAGAAGGGATGAGGGGGCTCAGAACAGATAACCTACTTCTCATTCTTTTCAAACCAATAGCTTTAAATTCAGTAGGTCACACGATTACGAATTTAGAACTGATAGGGGCCTTGGAGATCATATAGTCTAACTCCCTTATATTACAAGTGAGGAAGCTGAGGCCCAGAGAGGTTAAGTAATTTGCCCAATGATTAGCACAGTGTCTTGCACGTGGCAGTTATTTAAAGTAATAAGGAACCAGGATTCAAACCCAGTCTATCTGATTTTTTATATCTATTATTCTTAGCACTGTAACATATGCGTCAGACAAACATTCATTTAGCACAGTATTCTGTCTAGAGGACTTTATCATCTATAAAGTATCCTTACATTTGGACCTTGTTAAAGAGGTCTTCCATGAATATGAACATGAACCTTTGAACATAGGGAATCATGATTTAAAGGTTTCTGTGATGATTCCCCTTAAGGAATCCTTTTGTATGGAGCCTTATATTTACTCTTGTATAGTAGTACTGTTTAAGTTAGGGGTGCTGGGACCCTGAAATAGCTTTGCAGGTCCTGTCTCTTACGAATTTGACCCAAGCCGCCTTTCAGCCAGACAAGGTTTATTAGAACACCAATGGGGGTGGGCAAGATTTTAAGAATTGGAGCATTTATTATGCTTGTATTGACAAAGTCAATGAAGGGCTAGGTTAGAGGTAACTGAATTGGGAGATTGGATGGAGCCACAATAAAAGGTTAGTTGGGATGGGTCTGTGCCTCGGGCAAAAGCCAGAGATTTGACCAGTGGGAAAATTCAAGGAAGTTGGGGGGAGGGGAGGGTTTGCAGGGCCCCATTAGTACCAAGAAAGATTTTTTTTTACATTTTCCCTCTTCATTTTCCTATCAAACCAGTTTACTTGCAGTACTCCTAAACTCTATGTTCTATCTCTCATCACCTAAACTTGTACAGATCCTCTCCTGCGCCTGGAATGCATGGCCTTGTTTCTCATGCCCACTTCTCAGAATCTTTATCTTCCTTCAAGGCTCAGCTTGGATGCCATATCTTACACAAAACCTTCCCTTATCCCTGAGTCAATGTTTTTTCCCTCCTCAAACTTCCTACTAGAACACATTTCCATATACATCATATCCTCCATGTGGAACATGTGTTCCTTGAGGGCAGGAAACATCCCCACCATCTAGAACCATATCTTAAACATGTTTGCTGTGCTGTTGTTCCAGAAGAGGGTCCCCAGGAGGGTGAAGGGCCTTGAATTTGTGTCATATAAAGATTTGAAGGAACTGGAATTGTTTAGCTTAGAAAGATTTGAAAATCTTTCATATGAAAAGGGATTATATTTGTTATATTTGGCCCCAGAAGGCATATCTGGGAGCATTATTTGTAATGGAAACTGCAGAGAGGCAGATTTAGGCTTGGTATAAGGAAAAAAGTTACCCACAATTAGAATTCTTCAGAAATGGAGTGAGCTACCCCAAGACATAATGGGTTCCTATTCACTGGAGGTCTACAAACAAAGCCAGAATGACCACTTGACAGACATTGTAGAAAGGATTCTTTTTGATATATGGGACAGGCTAGATGATCTTTGAAATTCCTTATTATGAAGTGTTTGAGGGAGTTTAGTAGAGATGGATGAAGAAAGGATTGTTATGTACTCAGAACGGCCTTGTTGGGATTAGCATGAATTTATAGTTTTCCCAGGCAGCATGGTTTCATTATTTCTTCTAGCACAGTGGGGATGAAGTAAGCAGAGACAGTAGGAGGGACCCGTGTTGGGAATTAGCTACAATAGTACACAGTGCCTTACTGGAAATGACTATTGGTCAAAAATGAAGGAAAGAAATTAAAGCCAGAATAGGGATGATAGAATAAGTCACCACTATGATAGTTGGTAAGCATTTAATAAGTACCTACTGTGTGCCAGGAGCTGTGCCAAGCATCAAGGATAAGAGAAAGGCAAAAGAGAGTCTGTCCTCATGGAGCTCACAGTCTAAAGGGGAGATGACATGCAAAAATGCATGTATAAACAGGCTATATGCAAGCTGAACAGGAATTAATCAACAAACAGAAGGCACTAGGATTTAGAGTGATCGAGAAAGGCTTCCAGTAGAGGGTGTGATTTTGTTTGAATTTGTCTGAGGCCATGACTTCAATGACTGTGGGCTGGGTAAGAACTGAGACAAAAGATGGCCTAGTTTGCCATCACAAAGGAATCAATCTGAGAGGGAAAATCCCTCTGAGTTTTTGGCCTGAACAGTAAACAACTGCTATTTTACAATCATTCTGAGCCTATAAAACCTAAACAATAAGCTAGGGAGACTTGGGTTGGGACTATTACTGGCCATTCAATGAAAGTCAGAGTGATTTGGGTTTTAAGGTGGAGTCAAGTAGCTCCATTTAAAACACCTTTGGGCTTTTAAAAAAGCCTGTTGTTTTCAGAGCTTATAGTTCAATAAATCAAAAATGAAAATCATGAAGGACAAAAAGTAAATTGTTCCAACTTCTTGAAAAAAAAGGAGGAGGAGGGGAAGGGGAAAAAGAAGAAGAAGAGGAAGGAAAAAGAAGGGGAAGAAGAGGAAGAAGATTCCCCAACAAAATGTTCTCCTAACAACCTAGTTCACTCATTCCCACAAATAAAGTTTCCATAGGAGGAGTAAACTTAAACTTACACCCCCATGATTGTAGTGAGGCACAC